CTATTTTATGATAGCTATTTTGAATTCTCTGTCATTTAGGTTATAAATTTCTGTGCCTTCAGGATTGATTTCTGGGTGCTTGTCATTTTTCTTCTGGTCTGGAAATTTAATATATTTTTCCATACTGCTTGAGGGCATGGGCTTATTTTTCCTTGTGCTGAAAATATCTAGTTGCAGCTTCCACCTGCCACCACTGGCAGGGTCAAGAGCTGTGTATTCTGAGCCTGCTGCAATCTGCGGGTGTTCTGGCCGACCAGCTGTGCTGGTACTCTGGGTGGAGGGAGGGGCTCTTTCTTTTGCCTACCCAATCCTGGGGGCTTCTCGCTCTTCCCTCACTATCTGCTCTCCTGGGGTGCTGGCTTGATGAAGATACCCCCACAACAGTTTGGCCCCCTCCGTATGGGAATTTCCCACAGGCTGTGAGAGAACTTGGAGGAGAGGAGCTCTCGTTACCTTGTTCCACATCCTCCAGGGGTTCCAGCACCTCCACCTTCAGATGTAACGCTGCGTGGGTCTCTCAGACATCTTTTGTGTTGTTTGAATGTCCTCTGTTAGCATATGAACGTCTTTTTTGTTGTATCTTAGTGGGGGAGAGTCTAAGGGGAAAAGTTCACTCTGCCGTGATGCTGATGTCACTCAGTATTTCATATTTTTGATGCTATTGTAAATGCTAGTTTTTCAGTTTCAATATTTCATTGCTAATATGTAGAAATACAATTGATTTTTATATATTCATCTCATATTCTTGCTAAAATTCACTTATTAATTCTAGTAGCTCTTAAAAAAACTCCGTCAGGTTTTTGATATAGACAATTCTATCATCTGTAAGACAGTTTTATGTTTTCCCCTTCATCATTATGAAATGGCCTTCTTTCCCTGGCAAGTCTTTGCTCTCAAATCTACTTTGACTGTTTTAACATAGCCACTCCAGCTTTCAAATTTTAACTAATGTTAACATGGTATATCTTTTTCTATTCTTTTACTTTTAACCTATTTGTGACTTTATATTTAAAGTGCATTGGCAGCGTTTAGTTGGATCTTGCTTTTTTTCTCTACTCTATCAATCTCTGCATTTAATTGGGGTGTTTAGACCATTTACATTGGATGTGATTTTTAACATGATTACGTTTGAGTCTGTCTTGTTATTTGTGTTCTCTTTGTCTCAGCTGTTCTTTATTTCTTTTTTCCTTTTTTTTTTAATTTTTTACCTTTTTTGGGATTAATTGAATATTTTTTATGACTTCATTTTATCTTTATCTTATCATAGTCTATCTTCAAGTGATATTATACCACTTCACTAATAGTAAAAGAACCTTATAATAGTATACCTGCATTTCTTCTGTCCAGGCCTTGTAATACTGTTGTTGTAAATTTTTATTTTACATATGTTATAAACCCCACAAGAAATTTTTTTTTTTTTGCTTCAACAATTATCTTTTAAAGAGATTTAAACAGTAAGGAAGAAACCTTATTTATCCAGGAAATTACCACTTCCAGTGCTCTTCATTCCTTTGTGTAAATCCATATTTCCGTCTGCTGTCATTTTCCTTCTGCCTAAAGGACTTCAACATTTCTTATAGTGTGGGTATTGCAGTATGGTGATGAATTCTTTCAGCTTTGTATGTCTGAAAATGTCTTTATATTACTTTTGTTTTTGAAAGATATTTTACATTTGGTAGCATTATAGGTGGAAAATTTTTTAACTTTTGGAGGAAAAAACTGCTTTTACGTAAGTATGCGTCCTTCAATGTATGCCGAATCCATTAAAGCTTTTTGCCCTTTGAAACTCAACAAACCTTTTCTTTCTCAAAAAGCCCACCTCCAATAATAGAAAAACATGCTTTTTTATGTTGTTTATACTAAGTCCTTTAGATGTATAATTTGAAACTAAAGCTGAGTTATGACTTTTTTGTACTTCCTGTCTTAATGGTATAGGAAGAGTTATGGGTTCAAGGAAACAGAGGAAGAAAGGACCTCAGGTAATATCTCAAAATGTTATCCCCTGTAGTTTTTCCATTCTGTGGTTTTCCATGGCACTTAGTATTTATCTTTATTAGCACTTTATATTACACTGTGAGTTCTTTGTATCTTCATTGCTTAGTGGAGTGTTTGGTACATGTTTGAATGGTTTATTTTTAGTAGCAACCAGACTATATACCTATGTAGCTGAGTCCTAGGCTAGTTATTTTTATATAAAAAGATTGACTATCTTGTTAGGAAATTTTTGCAGCAAGATATCACTAAAATGAAGTAATCAGGTTACAAAAATTTTTTTTCCCTTCATCAGAGGCATTACTGTTTGAATATACTGCTTTGAGGGATGCCCATTCCTATATCCATCCACAATTTATAAGTATATGATATTCATATTTGATAGTTTGTTTTTTCCAAGCAGAGGAAAAATATGGTTTTCAATTCAGTGCCAGAAATTATCCAAGAAAGGACAATTAAAAAAAATTTTTTCTCAGATAGTTTATGCTTTCATAACTGGTTGCTACGCCTTCTTGGCAAGCGGATCTTTGGCACCAACTTTTGACTTCCACCCTTCACAGATCTAGATTTTAGAAATAGAAAAAATGCCAGTTTATTCTGAAAGTAGACAACCAGAAAGCTGAGATAATCAGTATGTTTTCCCACTGACAGTCATCTTTTGTCAAAAGCAAATAAATGACAAGAAAATAAGTTGATAATATGGATCTTTATTCCCTCCCTCCCTTCTTCCTTTTTTGCCACATATGAGATAGCATAGAGATTTATTGCAGTGTACCAGATCTACTACAGTATCAATGGTATGGTGCGATTGAAATTATTGCAAAATCTGGAAGTACTTCCAGTATTCGTTCATGTTCTCTCTCTCTCTCCCTCTCTCCCTCCCCGCCTCTCCCTCTCTCTCACTCTCATATTGACTGTCTTGAGCACTCTCTGGCCTCACTCACTTAACTTTCTATTCCTTAAGTAGGCCATGTTCCTTTTTTGCACATGCTCATCTCACTTCTTGAAGCATTCTTAGAATTCCTCCTTTTTGCCTGGCTAGGTCCTCTTTATTCATAGGACTTCAGTTGAGATCTCCATTCATCTGGGAATCATTGTTTGATCTTCCAAGCTGTGCTAGATAGTCCTCTGTGTGCTTGTAGCACCTGTGCTAATGCCTGTGATAGCATTATCAGACCGTATTGTGAATGCCTGCATCTTTATATCTCAGACTGTCAGCTTCATGAGGGAAAAGACCATGCCTGTCTTGTTTATTGATGGATCTTCTGAGCCTTGTGCAATGTCTGGCACATAATAGGCGTTCAGTAAATATTTGTTGGATGGAAGGGTAGATAAATATCTAATTGGTTGCTTGCATTTTTTACCAGGATTATATAATAAGCATTTTCTTAGATTGTTAAGAACTTTATAAACATTATTTAAAATAGGAACAAAGTACTTTGTCATATGGCTAGCTCATAATATATATATAACCATTCCCCAGTTATTTTACTTCTAGATTATCTAGTTTTTCACTGTTACAACAATGTGATGAATAGATACTTTTGTGTGTAAAACTTTGCCTCTGCTTGATTATTTCCACAGAATGGTTTTCAAGGCATTTCAGAGGCTCTTTATAATTTTGTACATTGCTTTCCAAAAAAGGTTGTACCAGTTTGAACTTTGACCAGTACCATATGGAGGTGGCTGTCTTGCCATAGTCTCCCTAGCTTTGATTAGTCCCATTTTAAAACATCTTTACCAATTTGATTGGTTAAAAATGGTATCTTTCTGTTTGATTTGATCAAGGTGAGGTTAAATGTTTTCTCAAATATTTATAAACTATGTATATTTATTCTTTTGTGAAGAAAACTAGCAGTATTTCCCCACTCATGTATATATAAGACCAGTTTGAATAGTTTTTTTTTGGTCTTACACATTCACTGAATGTTTAAGCTTTTTATATGGCAGATTTATAGTAAAATTGTTTGCCCCATAGTTTGGATATATTAGTAAAATCAGTCACTTTGACCTTCCTCATTAATATTCAAAATGTTCACAATTCAAAAAATCATTACAAGGGATTACCTATTTTAAAACAGTGTTTAAGATCTATATTCTGTAAATATATAGACACTGCTTGGAAATAGGAAGTGGCAGTTAAATTTCTTGAGGAGTTTGGGGTTGAGATAGGAGCGCACAGGTACTGGGAATCAGAAGTTGTGATTGGGAGTGTGGGTGGAAGAACAGACGCTGTAGGTAGACCTGTGTAGCTCTGCCTCCAGGACATGAAACCAGTCTATTCTGATAGAACATTCTTAACTCAGCTATCCTCAAATAGCTGGTCTGGTAGAAAGAAAACAAATGTAAATCAGGAGACATGGGTTCTCACCTCAACTCTGGAATTAGTTTGCTTTGTGACCATTCACAAATTCCTTAATCTTACAGTTTCTCAGTGTTTACATCATAAAGTTCTTGCCAGCTCTAAAAATCTTTGATTTTATTATCCAAGGGACAAAATGCTCTTCTTGTGAATCTAGAGCTATTCTTGTGAATAGGTCTGGAAAACAATTCATTCTTGTTGGGAACTATTTGGAGAAAACAATAGGAAAATTCTCCATACCAGCTAAATTTTTTAGGGCAAGAAAACTCCCAAATCCCAGATTCTTTTGATACATTAAAAATGGTAAAATTAGTTATTTTTATGCCATTTTGCCTGAGTCAGAGAACTGTATATTCAGTGTTTTCTCTTTCTACATGGCCAGAAAATGACAAGGTGGATAAATTTAAAGAGTGCAGGGAATTTCTTAGGCCTGAATATTGTCTAAATACAAAGATTACTTGGGGAGAGGAGGGGACTAGCAATAAAAACCATGAGTGCTTTTAAGAGAAGTTATTATTTAGGCAAACGTTGTCTCAGCTTAATTAAAAGTCACAAATAAATATTAGCCCTTTGCTGGCCTGAGAAAGCTGGTTGGGGCAGCTTTCTAAACCAACGGAATCTGACCGCTCTGTGTTCGATTTGTTAGGTCTGGCTCAGTGTGCTGAACTCTGCTGGCAGCTGAGAGGGGAAGCCGGAAAGAGGCAAGTTCCTGGTGCAAAGGTTGCTCTGCAGCATAATTTAGGCCTTGGAGGAGCTGTAGTTGTCACGCTTTACAGGATGGGTTTTCCTGAAGCTGCCAGGTAAGTGGCACGCTGGGTTTTGTCTGGCAATGAATCCTGACTTTTCACAGCTGATGACGTTGTAAGTGTAAAAAGTACTAATTTTGTTGTCTTGTACTCAAAGAATAAGTATCTGCTTACATTGCTTTAATAGCATGGGTTAAAACTTTAAAACTGCCCATTAGCTTTTACGCTTAACCAGCCTTAGGAAAATTTTGTTCAAAAAGGAGGCAGCGTAGTCAAAAGAGTGCTGAACTGGAAGCCCAAGCCGGCTGGGTCTTTGTCTCAGCCCTGCCAACCTGAGTAATTGTGATTTAGCAAGTCACTTTTTGGTTTCCTTTCCCACAATTTGCTTTCTCCCCATAGCCTCCGGGCTTCTGAACTTGTTTGGAGAAAGTCATCGAGTATGCTGATTGGATCGCCGCAAATTTACGTTTCTGAATCCAGCTAAGCCCTCACAGTTGCTAGGATCCTTCTTATTTGTTTCTTGCTGATTTTCTTCCTGTCCTTGTCAAATGCCTGTGCTCCTCAAATCTCTAAGTATTTTCTTTTCCAAGCCTGTCAGGATCCCTCAATTTCCTTGCTCAGCTCTCAGAGAAGTGCTCCTCCTTCCTAGAGGAAAAAAAGTCCCTCTTCTTTTCCAAGGCCCAGCTTTCCTCTTACATGCTTTTGTTTCCAACCACTTTCTGTAACTTTGTTCCAAATATTACATATACCCTCCCCCTTTTGAATCTTTCCATGTTTGCCTTTCCGTTGACTCCTTTCCCTCTGTCAGTAAACATATTCGCGTGTTCAGTATTCTAACAAATCTATTTTTCTTCTTGCTTTAATTATTCTCTTTCGTGATGAGCCTTTTATATTGAGCCACCTTTGTTTTTCCATGCTGAAATACTTACAGTCTAGTTTCTGACCTCACCACTGAGGTCAGGTAAGGCCACCAATGATCTGATTATGAAATTATGATACGTCCTTGTCTTTGTTTTCTGTACTTATTCTCTTTAACCTTGGCTGCAGCTTTCAACACTGATTGGCTCCGTTTTCTCTCCTGAAATTTTTGGTAATTATTTATTCATTTATTCACACTTGAGTTCCACAAAGGGTATGCGACACATTTCTTTTACAGAATCCGTTATATTCTTATGTGTTGCAAGCTCTTGAGTCTCTTCTCTCACTCTTCTTTCTCTGCCTGGAATGTCATTTCTGTTGTGAAAATTCTATCCTTCTTTTAAGGCCCATCTCAGGTACCATCTCCCTTTAAATATCCGCAGCACTTTGTACCTTTTTGGTCCCTATCCAATTTTGGTTCAGTTGTAGTGTATCTAGCTTGTTTTTTATTCTCTTTATTTATTTATTTATTTTAATTGAGGTAACATCAGTTTATAACATTATGTAAATTTCAGATGTACATCATTATGTTTCGATTTCTGTGTAGACTACATCATGTTCACCACCCAAAGATTAATTATCGTCTATTACCATACACATGTGCCCTTTTACTCCTTTCACCCCCTCCCCCCTTCCTTTCCCTCTGGCAACCACCAAGCTACTATCTATATCTATGTATTTGTTTGTTGTTGTTGTTTTTATCCTCCACATATGAGTGAAATCATGGGTATTTGGCTTTTTCTGTCTGACTTATTTCGCTTAGCATAATACCCTCAAGGTCCATGCATGCTGTCCTCTAGCTGTCTTTTATTCTCTTACATGAACTCCTTGAGGCCTAAGACTGACTTCTCCCCACCTCTCTGAAGATCTCTCTCATAGTAAATGTTATTGAATTACATCAAATAAAAAGATGTTAAGATGTTGAATTTCAAGTTTTCTCCTAAATCTAATTCATTGGTTCTGTATTGTCCTCTAGAATTCCACCAGTTTGTATTTGGAGTTGAAAACTCTCAGTAAAAGCCAAACCATAAAGAGCTACTAGAGTCAGCATATTAGTGTAGCTATCTGATTTGCTCAGAATAGAAGGTTATGAATTTTGGGCAATAAATTCTATTTTAAACATGGAATTCTCATAGTTGTTTTATTTTCAGGAGACTAAATAATTAAGAGAGAGAATTGTTCACGATAACTACAGTTGATATTTCTGGTGAGGCAGAGGTTTGAAAAAATCCAGATGATGTATTAATGACTGATAAGAAATTGGCTTGAAATATTGAAGATATTATGGATAGTTTTAGTGATAGAACATGACTCACTCCAAAGGCCAAAGTTGGGAAAATAATTCTAACTTTGATGATGCAAATATAGTTTTAAAATGAGGTTGTGGTTTGGTTTTAAACAAAGTAATTGTAAGGTACCCATTGCATATGATCTGATTTGCTTAGTTTCTCTCTTAGCTGCCTTTGATGGAGCAACTGCTTCATGCTTAGGCCCCCAAGTGTGGTCCTCTGAGTATGTGGGGAAGGCAGGCATACTTTTTTCAAAATGCTGTAGAAGTCCACAGGAAGATATTATTATGAAGAAGGTAAATTTGAACTAGGATGGCTAGGATTGCCCAGCAGAAGGGTAGAGGAAGGGCATTCCAGGCCTGTACCTAGGTACAGAGATTTGAAAATACAAGGAGGTTTAGTGAGTGCTTGTGCTGTGTGGGTGTAGGGTGGATTATTTTGTGTGTGCCTGGGTAGAGGGGCAGAGTCAGTAGTGTGTAGGTGACAGGAGATGCAGCTGTAACAGTAGATTGGATGATGGTTTTGAAATGCTATGCTCAGGAGTTTGGAGCTTATTCTACAGAATATGAGTTTTAGCAAAAGATTGTGTGATTATATTGTGCTTTAGGTAGATCAGTCTGGCATTTTTTTGAGTTGAGTAGTGGAGAGACCAGAGGCCAGGCATCCCTTAGGAGGCAGAGCAGTAATGTGGTTAAGAAATGATTAGTGCTGCAACGGAGACTGTGAAAATGAAGAGGAGTGGTCATATTTAAGAGCTATGACCACTTGCATTTAATTTACAATTAAACTTTAATTTAGACTAGTTTTGAATATGAGTATACTTTGTATTATAACATCCTATTCATTTTATTTAAATGAGGAGCTTTTATGATAGACTGAGAATAGATTTGCATTCTGTACTCTGTTAAATGAAATCTATTTTTAAAACCCAACTTTGTTTTCTTTTGTTTTTTCCATTTTTTAATTAAGGTATAATTTACATACAGTAAAAATCACCCTTTTTAGTGCATAGTTCTGCAAGTTTTGACAAACATATACCGTCATGTAACTACCACCATAATCAAGATACAGAAGAGTTCCATCACCCCTCCAAAAATTCCTTGTTCACCTTTGTAGTCAACTCTTCCCCCTACCCTCCATCCCCTGGCAACCACTGATCTGTTTTCTGCCCTATAGTTTTCTCTTGCCAGAATATCCTGTGAGTAGAATAAAAAAGCCTTTGAGTCTGGCTTCTTTCACATAGCATAATGCATTTGAGATACATCTATGTTATTGTGTGTATCAGTATTTGTTCCATTTTATTGCTGAGTGGTATTCCACTGTATGGATGTACCATACCCATTCCTTGGTTGAGGCGTATTTGGATTGCTCCCGTTTTTTTTAATGGAAAATTATTTAAGTTAGCTTGAAATTTTAACTCAACAGGTGAAAACCCTAAGTGATATAAGAAGTTAAAAGTTAGAAGTAAAAATTGTATCCATGTAATGATTATAACTGTATGCATGCTTATAAACAAGGACTAGAAAAAGCAATATGGAAAAATGAATATAGGAAAGTTGTTGGAGTGGTGGGATTGTAGGTCATTAGCTTTTTCATTTTCTAAATTTCTGTTTTAATTAGAATCCTTTCAGCCTGGTGGTGTAGCAGTTAAGTTCGCGTGTTCCGCTTCGGTGGCCCAGGGTTCACTGGTTTGGATCCTGGGCGCAGACCTTCTTACCACTCATCAGGCCATGCTGAGGCTGCGTCCCACATAGGAGAACTAGAAGGACCTACAACTAGGATATACAACTATGTACTGGGGCTTTGGAGAGAAAAAAAGAAAAAGAAGATTGGCAATAGGTGTTACCTCAGGGCCAATCTTCCTCAAAAAAAAAAAAAAAGAATAGTACAAGGAACTCCCATATACCTTGTACTCAGATTTACCAATTGTTTACATTTTTCCCCATTTGCTTTATCATTTTTTCTCTGCATATGTTTATATATATATATATGAATATTTTTTCTGAAATATTTGAGAGAAAGTTGGAGACATTAATGCTCCTTTATCCCTGAATATTTCAGTGTATATTTCTAAAAACAAGGCCATTCTCTTACTTAACCACAGTATAGTTATCAAAGTAGGAAAATTTAACACTTATAGAATGCTATTACCTAACCAAAGAACATATTCACAGTTTGACAACTGTCCCAAAAATATCTTTATGAAAGAGTCTATAAGCTTTATTTTTTCTCCTTGTCCAGGATCCAATCCAGGATCCTCAATGCATTTAGCTGTTAATGTCTCTTTAGTTTCCTTTAATCTGAAACAGTCCCTCAGCTTTTTTTGTATTTCTTGACCTTGACTCTTTTGAAGAGTACAAGTACATTCTTTAAGAGTGGAATGTCTCTCAATTTGCATTATCTGATGTTTCCTCATAATTAGATTCAGGTTGTACATTTTTTGCAGGAATACCACTGAAGTGATATTGTGTCCTTCTTAGTGCATCATGTCTGGAGGCACATGATGTTGGTTGATGCTGGTTGTCCCATTGATGATGTTTAGCTTTATCATCTGGTTGAGGTGGTATCTACCATATTTTCCTCTGAAAAGTAACTGTTTTTTTCTTTGTAGTTAATAATTTGTGTGAGATGCTTTGAGATTATGTAAATACCCTGTTCGTCATCAAACTTTTACCCATTATCCATTCATTTTAGCATCCATCAAGGTTTTTTTCTAATTTCATCATTCCTTATGTTTATTAGGTGGCATTCTGCTATAAGAGTTTCTCTTCTCTCCCATTTTTAAATATATTCATATCTATCTATATCTGTCTGTCTATCTATCTATCTGTCTGTCGCTAAATATAT